AGTTCAAAATAACTTTGGAGAGTAAGTGGTAAATTTGACAATTAAAAATCATTTGAAAAATCAAAGCTCCCCCTCAATAAATGCATTCCAATCAAAATTTAGCTTTAAGAACTTGACACTTAAAAAGAAATTGAATTTCTACAAAGAATAACAAATGTGTTAGTAGCACATGAATTCAATATCCAAGACTAAAATATTTTATGCAATACCAATTGTTGAAATTTGATATCAATACCCTTTGTTAAAATTAAGTGCATATGCATAAAGTTTTCCAAAAAATGTTATGAATTTTGAAAATTTTGATATCAATTGTTAGAGAGTTATCATTTTCATTTAAACCACATGCATAAACATTCAAATTTAGGTAAAAAAATTAAAATTTGTAAAATCAAAGTTTTTTTTTAAATTGATATCAATTATTAAAGAGATATCATTTTCATTAAAACCAATTTTGACCAAAATTTTATTATGATGAACTAAAAATTTTGAAAAATTATTAAAACTTTAAAATTGTTCATCATACCAATTGTTTTCAACATACACAGATTAAACAAAACATAATCATTTAATATCACAACTCATGCATGCTTAAATCAAATGAGCAACCAAAACCAAAATAAATCATAAGCTTAGAGGTTACCCATTCCCTTTTCATGTGTGGCTAGAGCATCTTGAATATCATCACTTTCATCACCATTGCTCTCACACACCTACAAGAGACATTTATTTCGATTTTGGTATCCAAATTGCTTTAGATCCTTCAACGTTAGTTTCAATGCTTCTTGTTCCTTTCGGAATCCATACTTGTCTAATTTTAAAACGCTTTCCTTTCTTCAAATGACAAGTATGTTCCTTATGACCATGAAAATGACAATGTGAGCATTTTGTCATTTCTAAACATAATAGGTTGTTTTTAGAAATTATTTTTTTTCTTTTGTTAAGCTTTTAAGCTTAACTCCTAACTCAAAATTTGTCTTTTCTAAATCATTTATTTTGATTTTTGAAAGCTCTAAATCATTTTTCAAAATTTCATTTTGATTTCAAAATCAACTCTAGCTTCAAAATTGATTTATTTTCAATTTTGAGTTTTGAAATAATTTCGTATATTTGGAATTCATGGTCTCAAATCCCAATTAAATTCATTTGAGTTAGAAGATACCTCGAATTCTTCTTGAGTAGCCATGAGGTATATGTTGACTACTTCATCTTCATCATTGGAATTATCTTCATCCCTCCATGATGCAACAAATGCCTTCTTCCCATTTTTCTTTAGAAGAGGACATTCATACTTGACATGCCCCTTTCTTTGACAATTGAAGCATATCGAGGGACTCTTCTTCTTGGTTGATTCATGTTTCACTTCATTGGAAATCATGAATCTCTTGAGTTCCTTCAAGAGCTTAATCATCTCTTCTTCTTGTTCATCATCGTTTTCATCCATCTCATCACTTGATCTTGATAGCTTTCATTGGTGGATTTGAAGGCAATGCCTACCTCCTTCTTCTTCTTGTTTTTCTTCTCTTCTCTACTCCAATCGTTGTACTTGCCGGGTGGAGAGGAGTAACCGTCCATGATTGAGTTCCAAGCTCCGAGATTGTAGGATTGAATAAAGTACATCATCTTATTCTTCCAATGTGCATAATTTGCTCCATTGAATAAAGGTGGCTTGTTGACCAGTTGTGAATCCATAATAGGATATTCTTCAACATAATAAGCACCGGAGGAAAAAGTCATTTATTTGTCGGTTACGTCGGAAATTGGTAGAGCTTCTTCGAGGATCGTCTCAAGGTGGTTAAATCTTCTTAACGAGTTAGGCTCTGATACCAATTGTTGAGATTTTCAGAAGCTCGAATCGACAATCGAAACGGTTTGCAAAGAGGGGTCGAAACGGTTTTGTGTTTAGGGAGTAAAGAGATTGAAAGATAGAAAATTGCACAGCGATTTAGAGTGGTTCGACTTTCTCAACCAAAGTCTACATCCACTACCTTAGCTCCTCACCAAGGATTTTCCAACAAATTCACTAATTTGTTCTTTCTTTTGAGGACAAAGAGATAACCTTACAACTCCCTAGTTTTTTCCGGGCTAAACTAGAACCTTTCCCTATTTTAAAAGGGATTAGCTAGAACATTTCCCCTTTACAAAAGGATAAAATAAGTAAACAAGAAAACCTATCTAAGAAAGGTGTTTACAAGATTGAGCTCACAAGAATAAAATACTTACAAGAGAAAGTTAAAATAAGAATGAAAAACTCTTCTCTTGTGTTTGATTGCTTGGATAGTTGTTCTCATACTTCTTCAAGTGTCCTTAGCTTGTATTTATAGCTTGGAATGTGTTTGATGTCGTAGATAACTGTTGGGGATGTTTTGGAGCAGTTTGGGGATGATTTTTCTACTAAAAAAGGCTGCCCATAACATGGTGCATCGATGCACTATCAAGATGCATCGATACCCCTTCATTAAATTCAAATAAACTATTCGTTACTAGCCGTTGCAGCCTTCATGCATGGATGCACAGCAGGATGCATCAATGCACAGCCTTGATGCATTGATGCATAGAAGGATGCATGGATGCACTAATTGCATTCGGTGTTTGAGTGTATGGATGCACTGCATGGTGCATGGATGCACTAGTGCAGGTGCATGGATGCACTGCAGGGGTGCATGGATGCACTACAGGGGTGCATGGATGCACTTTGACACCCTTTAGCATTTTGGCTCAAATCCGAATTTAATAGACTTTGAATTATTTTTTAAACCTTTTAAAACTTTGAATAAATTCAATTAAGTCCAAAAACATTTTGTAAATTCAATTCAAGTCCAAAAATCATTTTGTCTTAAATTGTTATATCAAAATATAGTTCAACAGAAAGTCATCCTCAAAACAAATGCATACAAAATTTGATTCGAAATTAATTTACTAATGATCATTAAATATGGATGGTGTTAAAAAATATATATAATTTTTATTATTTCTAAAATGACTTTAATATATTTATATTTTCAAAATTATACAAAAAAGAAAACACTTAAAATCAATGTTTTTAAAACATGACCGGATATTGAACCGGTGAAGGTACTAGTTCACTAGTTCAACCGCGGTTCAATCGGATTTTATATAAAATAATATATTTTTTAAATTTTACATAATATTCAAAACAATATTAATAATATATAACAATTTTTTAAGTTTACAATATTAAAAAAGTATACAAATATCACAATTCATAACATATATAAGTTAAAAAAACATAAAATCAAGTGAAACAAAATGATTCAAATCAACTACAATATAATATTTAAGGTAAAACATATTAAATAATAAATATAATTATATAATTATAATCAAAAAATAAATTTGGGGATGAAAAAAATTATAACAAACGATGTCGTTTGGTTTAATTTAAAAAAAATCACACATAGCTAAGAAACATATAAGAGAATCCCAAAAGTCTAAAGAGTAAAAATAAGAGAATAGAACAATCCCACATGGCTAAGAAATATAGAAGAGCATCCCAACTGACTTCTAATTCAAACAATATTAATATATATAACAATTTTTTAAGTTTACAATATTAAAAAATATACAAATATCACAATTCATAACATATATAAGTTAAAAAAACATAAAATCAAGTGAAACAAAATGATTCAAATCAACTACAACATAATATTTAAGGTAAAACATATTAAATAATAATATAATTATATAATATAATCAAAAAATAAATTTGGGGATGAAAAAAATTATAACAAACGATGTCGTTTGGTTTAATTTTAAAAAAATCACACATAGCTAAGAAACATATAAGAGAATCCCAAAAGTCTAAAGAGTAAAAATAAGGGAATAGAACAATCCCACATGGCTAAGAAATATAGAAGAGCATCCCAACTGACTTCTATAAATACTAGAGGTAATTTGACATTCAAAATCATTGAGCCTTTTGGTGAGCACAGAGCGAACTATTATTTGCTTCAAATTGAGCTCAAATTTTAGGCTTCAATCGAGCTTCTAAATTTTTTTGAGTTCGAGCCTTTTCGAGTTCAAGTTTCAATATTATATTTCGAGTTCGAGTTGAACTTGATAATTTTTAGCTCGTGAGTTTTTGAGTCGAGTTAAGCTTACTTTTAAAGTTTTCGAGTTCGATTCGAGCTCAGTAGTACTCGAGTTTGACTCGGTTCGTTTAACAAATGACATCGTTTGGTTTAATTTTTTTTAAAGAAAAAAAGAGAACTGGAGGTTCACACCGGTTTTGTCGATTTTCAGTCGGTTCACCCCGGTTTTGTCTGTTCTCAGTCGGTTCTTCCGGTTCTGTGCTCATTCTGTTTTGAGAGTTAACCGGATCGGACAGGCCACCGGTTCACGATTCAACTGATCGAATCGGCCGGTTCGATTTTAATAACATTGCTTAAAATAGGCAAGAGCCAAAATCTAGTGGAAATGCTTACGTGCGGCATCCTTAATATACGGCTAAAAAAAACGTTATTGGTTTTGTTATTATTTAAATAACAAATCCGGTAAAAAATGACCGAAAATATTATTATTTCTACGGATTATGTTATTATTGAGCATTTTACTAAATTTAATAAAGCACTATCGATTTTATTATTATTTTTTACCAGTTCTATTGTTATTGAATATTTTTACCAAAATTATTAAAAAAAATTAATATTTTAAATAAAAATAATAATATTTTTAATAATATTTTATCAATTTTATTATTTAAATAATAGCAAAATTAATATATCTTATTTCATTTACTTCACCGTTACATTGTATCCGCCAGTTCCTTCTCTCTCCCCAAAATTGCATATTTTGCATTTGGTAAATTTTCATTTCTGTTTCTCTCTCGCGTTTTCTCGCACTCCATAGAAAAATAGAAGAAAAAAATAAATAAAACCTCTTCCTCGTTTGCTTATATTGGATCGGGTTCCCAGTTTCTCAACCACCAGCAAGCCTAAAAGAAGAAATAAAAATCATTGAATTCGGCCCTAATTTCGAAGAGGTTTTCTTTTCTTCTTCCAACCCAAAATTATTCTTCTTATTTTGGTATGATCTTTGTTGGTTGCGTTTCGCGGGAGTGAAACTCGGGAATCGTTGTTCGGTGGCAATCTTAGTCATTATTTACATTTGATTATCGCTCAATCCAGGTTTTCCTTGCTTGATCTATCTTTTCTTTCTAATATTTGTTTCTATTTTTATTCTTTTTCTTGATTCGTTCGCGAACCTTAGTTTCTGCTAGATTAGTTTTGAGCGATTAAAAAAACTTGAAAAAAAGAAGAGAAGATATTGAGATTTTAGGAATTTTGATATTGATTTTTTGGGGGCGTGTAGAGAGCTCAGTTACGCCACCGCTTTTGTTTTTCTCCATTTTGGGCTTTTAACTGATTTTAGGTATTTTTTAAACAAGAAAATCTCTGTGAAATTTTGGTGCGTTGTTTTAGTTTGTCGTCAAAAATCGAGGGTTTTTCTTGTTAGTTTAGATCCTCCGCTAATCTATCCCATTTTTATTTTAATATTTTCATTTTCAAAAGGAAAAAAAAGAAGAAAAAAAAAGCGAGAGCGAGAAAACTAGTGAGGAAATATTTTAGGGTTTGCATTTAAAGAAAGGTCTTCAGGGTGTTTGGTTAAAATTAGAAAGAAAGATTAGGGAATTGGCTGTTTGTGAACAATGGCTTTGAATTTTTCCCATCGATCTATCTTTCCTGCTAATATGAATGAAGATAATCTGGTTTCTCCTATGAGAATCGCAAATGGATACCTGGTTGAAGGTATCCCCGAGTGGAATGGAGATGGGTGTTCAAAACCTTGGTTTTCGAATCGTCAGTTGGAAGATTGCTTTGATTATGGAAGAGATAGGAGTGGTGATCGATGTGGTTCTCAGGAGTCTTCTTCTGATGACATTGTTAATCTTTTGCCGTCTGATCCTTTTGGAATGCACATCTCCACTACTTTCACTGCAATTACTGGTTGGCTTGAGGATTTGGAAACTGATTATGGCTGCTGTGTGAGAGATGATGTGGGGACTGGTGATGGGAATTATCAATTGTTTGCCGGATTAAACTTTATTTGGAACAATGCCATGTGGTTCCAAACCTTCCCAGGAAGCATGGGATTTGAATGTAAAGGTGGTATATGTGGTGGATTTGGTGGGTGTCCTCATGCAAAGGAAGGAGGGGACGTGTCTGGTAGTGCTACTCTTGGACCAGCATGTAATGCAGCGGGCGTTCTGCCTTTTGGGAATGGAGATATGGTTTTGCTTGATCAGGAAAATGAAGAATTTCAGGACTGTGAGGATTTTTCTGACGGACATGAAGGAGCTCCTCATGAAGCTCTTATTTTGGCCCTTGGTTATCTTGGTGTGCGGGATCTTTTCGTCATTGAAAATGTTTGTACATCTCTGAGATCTATAGTTCAGAATGATCCTCTCTTATGGAGGAGCATTAACATTGATCCGCCACTAAATGAGAAAATTACCGATGATGTTCTTTTACAAATAACTAGTAGATGTCAAGGTAGCTTGCAATGCTTGAGCCTGGTTGATTGCCAAAGGATTACCAATGAAGGCCTAAAGCACGTGGTCAAAAATAATCCAAAACTAATCAAGGTGATTTATTGACTGAAATTTTTGATTCTTCAGTTTTTTAAATCTTGGCTGTTCCGGTTACTTTGTTGTAGGGTTTTTTACTTGTGTGCTTATCCTTGAATGTATTGATCTGCATTTGGGTTTTATCTTATCATTTGTATGAATGATACAAACTGGAATATGATGGATTTTGCATGTATGATATTATGTGACTTAATATCTTATGATTCAAATGAGTGAAATTGCAATTTGATCTCTGATTTTGGATTATTGTGCTTATTTATTTGTTTGATACAGCTTATTTCAAGAAAATTATAAACAGTTATGAATCTAAACTCTAGTAGTTTTGTAATCCAGAAAATGACTGAATATGCATGTCAGCATAGACTGCATGATGATAATGCTATAAGCTCCCTGATTTTTATTTTATTGGTATAGACTAATTGTTTATTACATGCTTCTTAAAAGAAAATGTGAGTAGTTACAATCTAAATCCAGCAATCTTTAGACATATCCACAATATGATGAATGTATATCCTCTCATGACGTAAATATATCAAACCAAAAGAATAGTTTTTCGCGTAATAGAGGCATGTATGTGAAAAGGATTACTGTGATTTAGTGTTTCTTTATGTTTTATGCTGGAGCAACACATACGTCTAGGTCCAATGCATATATTGAATTGCTCGAAGTAGCTGGCAGTGTTGTTGGGTTAAATGATTTAGCTTCTACTTTGCTAACATGCTTTGCTACCTAACTATAAAACAAATTTCTGATGTTTGCATTTAAATGCAATGATACTTGGAAAATTTATTTTGAGGGCTTCTTTTTTATGTATAGATATAAGCTTAAGATTTGGAGCTAATTGTTGGCTGTTATATTGAACGTTCTAGCTTTTTATGGGAAATTTCATAATTGTTTCTGTTTTCTTTGGGAATATGGTTTTTAATTTTAGTAGCATCAATTATGAAATGTTTGTTAAATAAAATATTTCCACCATCTTTGTACTTGGATTAATATTGTTTCTTTTCTATTGTAAGCTAACTAAATATTTTCTTCTTCTTTGTAGTTGAGTGTACCTGGATGTACAAAACTAAGTGTCGATGGTATTCTGAATAGCCTAAAGGCTTTGAAGTCTATGGGCTCACAAGGTGTGAAGCAGCTGAGGATTGGCAGTCTTTATGGTGTGACACAAATGCACTTGGAAGAACTGAAATTCTTGTTGGGTGTGGACAACCAAATTCAGCAGGTTGAGCTCAAGCCACATTTTTATAGCAGAAGAAATGTGTATCTCCCTTGTGAAGAGGATCGTGCCATTGATATTGAAATGTGCCCAAGATGCAAAAACATGAGGCTTGTTTATGATTGTCCAGCAGAGGGTTGCCAGCAGAAAGGGCGTGCTGCTCAGTCATGCAGGGCATGCATTATTTGTGTGGCAAGGTGTGTTCAATGTGGCAGGTGCTTTAATGACAGTGAGTACGAGGAGAACTTCTGTCTGGAGTTGCTTTGTTCGGATTGTTCAAGGTCACAACTCACTCTTCGTCAAACTGCAAACCTTCATCTCCATGGCTAGACCGAAATATTTCACATTTTATGGTTTCTGAATGCCATTAACATGTTGCGTTCGTGATAGTTCAAGTCAGCCAGAAAGCAATAGATAATGATCTGTCTCCATTTTTATTGTTGCTTGTTTTTCTGCTCAAAGTTTCAGCCTATTACTGGACTTGGCTGAGCCTTAGATTCTCTGAGCTAATGGGTTAGTGATATTTGGAGAAAAGAGGGAAGTGCACTTCCATGTATTGTCCAAGGGAAGCATATTCTGGTTTTGGTGGATTTTTCTGGTTCGCACATTTGTGATTGCTTGTGGATGATCATTGATGATGTCAAGAATAAAGGTGGAAAGTGAGTTTGCCAAGGAAGCAGTTCAAGCATTAACTTATGCTTTCGAAAGTGGAATCTGTTTACGAACCTTTTGCTCAGAACTGGGAAATCGCGGTGGCCGTCGAATATGACGTCATGATCACTGACTTATTTACTTAATAATCGGAATTTCTGTTTATGTTCCGTTCCATGTGATGAACTATCAAATGATACAATGGTACATGTTTATATACAATTTGCTCTCATTAAACTTGTCTGGTTGTATTGATTATCATTGATTGGCTCCTTAATATGAACCTTGAATGTAGCCAAGTTTTACTAATCAGCATATAGGTTTAAGAGAAGTAAACCATTTGACCATGTAATAGAATTGCATAGTTGACCATGGAAGTGTGCAGTCTCAGGTTTGCCTTTGTTATTAAGGACACAGGACACCACCTTCTTGAAAGCTATCAAGAAGATCATCTGGGGATGCACCGAGCCAATTATACTGCTCTTCCGGATGGATGACAAACCCTAATGAATCCGAAAACCTTGGTTTTGTTGGATCCAAATACTTTTCCGTTCCAAAAACCCAAAGAAATGCTGAAGATCTTGTGGTCTTCGGCCGGAGAACGAACCAAATCATATCATGGTTCAAAATATTTGACATCCACTTCACCACCTGCTCGTAGACAATGGAAGCACGTACGGTTTTTCGGTGAATGGTGCAATTGATTGCACATTGCGATTTGTGAGGGAACTAAGCTTTGGATTAGCTGCGTTACTAGGTCCGACCAAATTATAGGTGGATTTCAGTCCTGGGAGCAAAAAGGAAAATAATTAGATTGATTTCCTACATCAATATCTGTATATACAGCAAGAACAACCATTTCTCAACACAAATTTCTCAAGAAATGCAGACATTCTGTTCTTGCAAGTGATCAGTATTACCGTGAACTTTCAGTCACTTGTACAAATGCCAACAAAACAACGAAAGAAAAATACATATTAAAAAATGCAGAACAAAGTAAGCAAGCTTTCTTCTTCTTTCAGTAAATTAAATGGGTTTTATGGAAAAACCATTGGAAAATAAAATGGGCAAAATGTGTTCACCTGAAAGCGAAGTTGAGTTGCCAAATAAGACTGAAAATGCGTATTTTCTTGATTTCAACCCAACAAAATTAGGTTATAGTCATAGCTATTTCCACAATCGCAGCCATAATAACCAATGACTCGATGGAAGGGGACATGGAATTTTAAAGAAAGGAACAACAGCCTTTTCATGTGTTCTCAAAACGAAGCCTTTGGCTCATTTGGGAATATCAACTGAATTGTGGAATTTGGGTGTTACGTTGTAGTAATTAAACAGTTCAATTTTGACCAAAATTAAATTAAATTGGATTAGGTCGATTGATTAATAAAATATGGACAACAACCTATACAGCATGCAGTAAAAATCTTAGCTGGCATATCTTTTTTCTCTTAGATTATGAATACAATATCCACCTCTTTACTTCAACTCAGGTGAAAAATGATGTTTGAACTAAACTTTGAAAGAATAAATTATTTTTTTAATTTTTTTTACCAGATTGAATCTTTAAATTTAAAAATTAAATAAATTAAATTTTTAATACAAAAAATTAAATCAATTAGAGACGACCTATAATTGAACTAGGGTGCATTTACAGAATTTAATTAATAAAGCAGAAGCTCGATTCTCGAGTTGAAAAACAAGGAATGCAGGGGATTTTCATTAACGAAGCGTAAGATGATGGACCACAAAACTTAAAACAATTCACGGCAGTTGTGGGTATCAAGTGAATAGAAGATCACAAATCACAATTGAGAAGGAAAAAGAAAAAGGGAGTTTCAATCAAACTACTGCTCGTCCCATTCATCATTCTTGTATGATACAAGAGTGTCCACCTTGTGTATTTGCATCAACCACACGCAGAATTACTTGAGAAGAAGAAGAAGAAGAAGAAACCCAATTTTTAATTACAATAGCTTTTGATCAACTGATTTTGCAACCACTTTTACCTTAGTATCAAAGGAATGCAACTTCACCATCTGAGGATTTGCAATCAACTTGGGGTCACTCTCAATCCAAGTGAATGGCACTGCAACATCTTTATCAGTGTATGCTAATACATCAAATACGCCTGTAAACAACACCACAAGTGAGAGAGATGACTATTGAGACCTCTTGCTGAGGAAGAAGATGACTCTATCCATGTCCGACACTAGTTTCAAACACATATCCGAACCAGTGGCCAATCCATGTTATGGATAGGATGGACCAGGTTCCGACCCTGAAATCCAATTCTTCTGTTATTTGGATCCACCACTGAATTCCGGAGATGAAACTTCATAAAAAATCAAACATATGTATCCAACACTTACTACTAAATCTGGGGGGAAACATGGTTTAGTTTTGATGTTATTGGCTTACATGGTTCATCAAGGCATGACAAGTAAGTAATACTTGAAGCAATCTGTCTCATGATTGCCTGTATTTCTCTCATGATTTCTTTGTCACTCTTTTCCCTTGACACACTGCAAACCAATTCTCAGATTTCAAACAAATACCATACACTGATTAAAGAAATATGTCAAGTAAAAAAAGAGAACAATATTTACCCTTTTTCGACAACCTCACTGTCTGTTTCAATGCTAAAATTCCACCTCTCCAACACCTCATTGGTGGCCTTACTCATGATAACCAATACATCCCTTTGTAGCTTCCCAGCTTCCAGTCATTCTTTTCCAAAACAATTTCAGTTTCAAAAAGAAATGATTAATAAAAGTGCTTTAAAATGTATCACATTTTTGTCCAGTTCTCCAGTAAAAAGGAAAAGAAAAGGCAGATATTGTACCAGAAAGCTGGGCTGTTAAGTTGGAAATGAAGGATTTAACCCCTTCATCTTGAGTAAGCAACATCGGGAGTCCATATTTCTTCACTTTCGCGAAGCTTTCTTCCGGGTAAACCCCTCGATTGTAAAGAACGCTAAATAAAAACACAATCGGTTAATTAAACCCTAAACCCTGGAAATCATTAAGGGGAAATCCAGATGAATACATCGATTCATCTATTTACCTATTTGCGGCATAACCTGGAAAAATGGAAATTATGCAACAACAACAAAAATTGTCAACAACTACAAAGAAAGAGATCGAAACATGGGCAGGGTTTAAGAAAACACATACCAAAAAACTCGCTCACGATTGCTTCCGAGCCGCGAAGAGTGATAATATCTTTGGCAACTGATCCTGACGCCATCCGCCTTCTACAATCGAAGTGTATTTCAAAAGGGAAGGGTGCGAATTGGGGATTAATGTAGTAGAAAATGAGGGATCGGATTAGTTGAAGAGGAAAATGGAAATGAATTTTCTAGAAATTTGAGAATGAAATTCAAAAGTGGAAAGAAAAAGAAGAGAAACGGCTTGTTTCTTGTTGTTCGTCTTGAGCCAACGCTGGCATTTTTAAATTGTGCCTTTAACGGTCAAAAAAGCGGGACCGCCCTTTTTTATTTTGAAAAGGTTGCGAATCTTGTGGACACGTAGGATAATTAGGGATACTGGTGGTCTCGTGCGAAAAACGATAGTAATAATTTTTTTTTTCAAAAATATATTTATCACATCTAAATCTATTTAAAGTTTACTAGAAATTAAACTATCTCAATATAGATATTTCGAATTCAAACACTAGGCATAAACATTTATTATCGAATGTTTAGATATTTTTGAATAGATATATTTTATATTCGCTTAATATTTATTATAGAAAAAATGGTATATGAAAGCACAACCAAGCTATTTATGTGGTTAAGAGATCGTTGTTATGCATTAATGTTTCGAGTTCAAGCATGATATACATGTCCGTTCAATGACAAGTGTAACATGTGATTCGTCACAGAGTCTCAAACTTTGGGCCCCCACATAAATGTTATTTAGTCCTGTCTATGTATAATATTTGTGCTCTAACGATATTTTTGTTCAAAGGAAAAATAATTTTTTCGTTTAATTCTTGGGAAAATAGAAGAGAAAGGTACAAACAAAGATTTTGAGAATATCGTTAATCATTTTTCATGATGAATTTTGATAAAAAAATATCTCGTAGACCCTTCATAATTTTAATTTTGACAAAATAATCTTTATTATAAAATATTTTAGGGGTCTCATTTTAAAAAGTAGCACAAAACATCTACATCATTTGAGACAGGCTTGGTGATATCTATAGAGATGTACGAGAGATATAAGAGTGTTTATTATCAAATGATTGAAAAATATTTCAAAACATATATTACATTATATTCATCTCAAATTGCGGACGAAGCTATGTTGGGGCTCAAAGGGATTATGACCCTGTAAAATTTTTATATATTTGATAAATTTTAGTCTAATATTATTTTAGTTCATATAAAAATAAGTATTCAAATTAAAAAATACAAGAATTTACTTAAGATTTAATTAAGTAGGGGTTGAACTAAAGAAAGATAATCTAATGTCTCAAGTTTTTTTGTCTAATAACAATTTAGGTCATTGTAAGTTTAAATATTAGACAAATTTAACATTACTTTTAAATTTTGAATTTAAATACTTAATAAATCATTGTATTTTTCTTAAAATATCTAATATTTTGATCTTGTCATTATTTAGTCTTAGCTCCAATCATGTCTCAGACTGATAAAAAATATATATTAAAAAACCCATTAAAGTTGAGTTATTCGTCCAAATTTAAATTAATTTTAGATAAAATTTATTTAATATATAAATTATATAGATTTTAATTCCTATTGCAAGCATTTGTATTTAAATTGAATATGAAATTGCAATTGACATCACAATTATTTGAGAAAAGCGTTCTGAGGACTCAAACTCTATTGTGTGATATGCTTTTTCTGGGATTCTTTAATTGGAATTATCACTTAAACTTAAACATGATAAGTTACATTAATACACAAATTTAATTTAACTATACTTTTAACTATATTTTGATATAAAATTTGTAAGTCTATACTAATCCACTCAGAGTATTTTGTATAAGCGTTCATGCTATTATTATATATTACATATATATATATATATATATATATATATATATATATATATATATATGCACACACATTTTTTTAAAATATATTTTTATTTTTAAGTTATTTATAATTTATCATTTTATAACTTGTAATATATTTAATTTTTAAAATTTTCAAATAGTATTTTTATAATATATTTTTAATTTTTAGTAATTAATTTATGTTTTTAGTATTTTTATATTTAAATTTTAAA